TGCTCCTCTGATGCTGCTTGGCCTGCTGTGTTCATCCAGCTCTACACTTTGTTATCTCAGTAGTAAGTTTGTGTATGGTTTGAAAAAAAATACAAAAAAACTTACTGAGATTGTGTCACACTGGAAGAGGATTCGTGTAGAATATTTCTGATTGTCGTCGCATTTATCACCATTCAAATAGACAATACTGAGTGAGCCATCAGTCTCAGCCCGCGGACTCATCTGAATATATCCCAGATTCTGGCTTTTATCAGCATACTTGACACAAGATCCAATAGCACCACCTGTGGAACAACAATTTAATTTGAAAGTGAATCTTCTGCTTACACACTTATTTTCACACAAGTTTGAGATCTTGCTTCAGAAACTGGTTCATATAAAGTGGAAGTAACTGCAGATCCCAACCAGCCAATTTATTGGAGATGAACCATCTTTGCTGCTGAGAATAACACACAAACGTAGGTGTTACATATAACATGAATTCTGTTCTTTCCCTAGGTAAGTCAACATGCTGCAATGGTGACAAGGGTTTGAGAAACGACCAAGACTTTGCTTCAATTTTAAGATATTTTCCCTGTGTTGCAATATTTTTCAAAGACCCATCCCACCTTCAGATGCTCAAAGTCAGAAAAATGAGTCATGTTTACAATGAAAAGTAACATCCAAATACAAATGATTGATTAGTGGGATGAGCAGGAAGGATATGAATGGATCACAAACCAAGAATGCAGAAGGTTAAAATCTAAAACATACATCTTAGACAGATGCCACAGTAGATAAAATGGATGTTAGTGCTCTGATCTCAGTAATTCAGGCAAGTAAACAGGGAATGAATTCTTCCATCAAAGAACTTCAAACAACCGCAGCAGAAAAATCAGGCCACAAATGCTTCGCAGAGACAGGGTCATATTTACGATTTGTGTAAAACTGTCAGCTACCATAATACAACAGCAAAACAATTTAGTCTGCATAAAGAAGCTGCTTAAGGTGCTACAAATTATGCAAAATCTAATGGCAAGTAACAAAACTAATCCAAAGCTCACACTAGAACAATAATGATAACAGAGAAACATACGAGTAACAGTTTAACGCCAGAAATAGGTCATCTTGTCAGAGCTTAGGACTTTGAAGTTAAAAGGAAAAATAAACAAATTTGTACATGTGGATGAGCAGCTTGCTTTTTTTGGAGTAATGAATCTTTTCTGTTTGAATGCAATTTCCAAGTCACTGAACTAAACATTAACTCTGTGGTTTACTCTTGTATGTGGCTTTACTCCTTGGTTGGTTAGTTGGTGTCCATATGTATTAATATTATGTTGAGATTTTAAATTGTCAGTCACAACGTTGAAGATTTTCTTGAGAAGTTACCTCACAGTTTTAAAATTATGGTTGTATCAAAGCAAATTGATAGAAAAAGTGACAACAATTGATGTAATTTCCTTTTTTTCTTACCAATGCCATACCATCCTGTTTTGCATTTAAGTTAAGGGGAAACAGTATTAGTCAAATGGTTACCTTCAGAATTTTCAAAATTGAGTTGTTAAATTTGGAATTTCATTTCAGACCAGAGTGAACTTTCAAATATTATTTTAGCATATTGGTGAACCTTTAACTTTGGATAAAATGTTATAGAACATAAGAACTAGGAGCAGGAGTAGGCCATCTGGCCCCTCGAGCCTCCCCGCCATTTAAGAAGATCATGGCTGATCTTTTTGAGACTCAGCTCCACTTACTTGCCCACTCACCATAACCCTTAATTCCTTTACTGTTCAAAAATTTATCTAGCCTTGCCTTAAACACATTCAGCAAGGTAGCTTCAACCGCTTCACTGGGCAGGGAATTCCACAGACTCAACCCTTTGGGTGAAGAAGTTCCTCCTGACCTCAGTCCGACATCAGCTTCCCTCTATTTTGAGGCGATGCCCTCTAGACCTAGTTTCACCTGCTAGCGGAAACAATCTCCCTGCCTCCACTTTATCTTTTCCCTTCATAACCTTGTGTTTCTATAAGATCTCCCCTCATTCTTCTGAATTCCAATGAGTATAATCCCAGTCTACTCAGTCTCTCCTCATAACCCAACCATCTCAACTCTGGAATCAACCGAGTGAATCTCCTCTGCACCCCACCTCCAGTGCTAGTATATCTCTTCTCAAGTAAGGAGACCAAAACTACACACAGTACTCCAGGTGTGGCCTCACCAGGACCCTATACAGCTGCAGCATAGCCTCCCTGTTTTTAATTTCCATCCCTCGAGCAATGTCAGACAAAATTCCATTTGCCTTTTTAATCACCTGCTGCACCTGCAATCCCACCTTCAGCAATTCATGCACAAGGACACCCAAGTCCCTCTACACAGTAGCGTGCTGCAATTTTTTAGCATTTAAAATATAGTCCATTTTGCTGTTATTCCTACCAAAATGGATGACGTCACACTTATCAACATTGTACTCCATCTGCCAGACCTTTGCCCACTCACAGACTATCTATATCCCTCTGCAGACTTTGTCTTCTGCACACTTTGCTCTACCACTCACCTTAGTGTCATCTGCAAATTTTGACACACCACTTAGTCCCCAACTACAAATCATCTATGTAAATTGTAAACAATTAAGGTCCCAACACTGATCCCTGAGGCACACCACTAGCCACTGACCGCCAACCAGAAAAACACACATTTATCCCTACTCTTTGCTTTCTACTGGTCAACCAATCCTTATCCATGCCAATTCATTACCTGTAATACCGTACAACTTTATCTTATGTAGCAGCCTTTGGTGTGGCACCTTGTCAAATGCCTTCTGAAAATCCAGATACACCACATCCACAGGTTCCCCACTGTCCACCATGCAAGTAATGTCCTCAAGAATTCCACCAAATTAGTTAAACATGACCTACCCTTCATGAACCCATGCAGGGTGTTCCCGATGGGACAATTTATATCCAGATGTCTTGCTATTTCTTCCTTGATGATAGATTCAAGCATTTCCCCTACTACGAAGTTAAGCTAACTGGCCTATAGTTACCTGCTTTTTGTCTACTTCCTTTTTTAAACAGTGGCGTCACATTGGCTGTTTTCCAATCTGCGGGAACCACCCCAGAGTCCAGTGAATTTTGGTAAATAATTACTAGTGCATTTGCTATTTCCCCCATCACCTCTTAGTATCCTGGGATGTATTTCATCAGGGCCAGGAGACTGGTCTACCTTTAGCCCCATTAGCTTGCCCAGCACCGCCTCCTTAGTGATAATGATAGTTTCTAGGTCCTCACCTGCTATAACCTCCTTGCCATTAGTTTTCGGCATGTTATTTGTGTCTTCCACTGTGAAGACCGACATGAAATAACTGTTTAATGTCTCGGCAACTTCCTCATTCCCAGTTATTAAATTGGCCTTCTCATCCTCTAAAGGACCAATGTTTACCTTTGCCACTCTTTTACGATTTACATATTTATAGAAACTTTTGCTGCCTGTTTTTATATTCTGAGCTAGTTTACTCTCATAATCTATCTTACTTTTCTTTATAACTTTTTTTGTGGCTTTCTGTTGGCCTTTAAAGATTTCCCAGTCTACTAGTTTCCCACTACTCTTTGCTTTTTTGTATGTGTTTTTTTTCAATCTGATACTTCCCTTTATTTCCATAGTCAGCCATGGCTGGCTGTCTCTTTTCCTACAGTTCTTCCTTATCACTGGAATATACTTCTGCTGAGCACTGTGAAAAATTGCTTTGAAAGTCCTCCGCTGTTCCTCAGTTGACCCACCATAAAGTTTTTGCTCCCGTTCTACCTTAGCTAACTCCTTCCTAATTCCTTCATAGTCTCCTTCGTTTAAGCACAGGACATAGGTACTGGATTTAACCTTCTCACGCTCCATCTGTATTTTAAATTCGACCATACTGTGATCGCTCCTTCTGAGAGGATCCCTAACTGTGAGATCATTAATTATTCCTATCTCATTACACAGGACTAGATCTAGGATAGCTTGCTCCCTCGTAGGTTCCATTACATATTGTTCAAGGAAATTATTGCGGATGCATTTTATGAACCCCTCCTCAAGGCTGCCATGACCGACCTGGTTTGACCAATCGATATGTAGATTAAAATCCCCCATGATAATTGCTGTACTGTTTTTACATGCATTAGCTATTTCTATGTTTATTGCCCGCCCCACCACAATGTCATTATTTGGTGGCCTATAGACCACACCTATCAGTGACTTCTTCTCCCAGCTATTCCTAATTTCCACCCAAATGGATTCAACCTTTTGTTCAGTAGAACCTATATCATCTCTCACTACCACCTTGATATCATCCTTAAAAATCAGAGCAACACCACCTCCCTTACCTTCCTGTCTGTCCTTCCAAACAGTTTGATACCCCTGGATATTTAACTCCCAGTCATGACCATCCTGTAACTATGTCTCTGTAATGGCCACTAAATTATACCCATTTGCCACGATTTGCACTGTCAACTCATCCACCTTTGTCTGAATGCTCCGAGCGTTCAGATAAAGTGCCCTTATGCCAGTTTTTGCACCTTCTTTTTGGGTCCTATTACCTCCATGACTAACAACTCTTGAGATCTCCTTCCCTTTAACTTTTTTCCTAATTTTCAATGGAGTTGAAGCTACCTCATCACCTTTCACTCATATCAAATGACTATTGATACGAATTGAAGCTTTCAAGAAAAATAAAGGAGAGACTGGTATTTTGAAACATTGGAAGAGTAAGTTTCTTTGATCAAAAGCTAAAAATTAGTGAAAGCTGATAAAGGCTTTTAGAAGTTAAAAACTAATTCCCCATAACAGGTGCAAGCTCTTCCTTTGTTGAGGAAAAACTAAAATACAGTTTTTCTTCGTTTGAGGAGAGCAAACTTAAGATCAAATAATGAGAGCCAGCAAGGCAAGTTGGATGATCGGAATTTTGTCAGAGTGTTGTCTAGAGAACAAGATGGGTCTTATTGACAAGGTTGACTTGAACACAGGAAACTGAACTAATTGTCTCAATTTTTGTAACAAAAACACCCTTGAACTTCTTGTGGAAGATGAGGCTCGAGGTGACAAAGGCAGTTAAAGCCAGTTTACAGCAAATAGATGTAGTGATTGGTACCATTGCTTTCCTGGATGGTCTTCAAATTGTGGGCAGTTTTAATGATGGAGAATGAAAATGCTCATGACAGACTCAGATGTGGTGATGGGCAGTTAAAGCAAATGTCTATCAAAGATCTTCAAATTTATGGTCACTTTGGTTTAAGGAACTGATGTTTAGAGAGTGGTGGGGGGGTGAAATAAG